AAGAATCCCGCAAGAAGAAGACACCCAAGGAGGAGGACAAGGAGGAAGAATCCCGCAAGAAGAAGACACCCAAGGAGGGGCTGAGGAAGGCTCTGGCCAGACGGCGGCAGCTGCCGAGGAGGAAGAGAAAAAGAAGAAAAAGGAGGAGAAAGCAGCAGCCATGAAGAAGAAGGAGGAGAGGGAAAGTCCAGTTATGTTTTGGTGAGTGCGCAAATGCATGGTAGAGAAACCGGTACCCTTGAGAACCCATTATAAGTTCAAAACAATGCACTGCTCTGACTAGTGATGGCGCGCACTGAACAATCAAGTCTGCATTTGCGGTTTGGCGCTGCAGTACTGACTGCACTATACGTACTATTATTAACTCATTGACTTGATGGGAGAAATTGAAACCAGCTCTTCGTACTATAGTGCCAATCCACTCTAGCCGCGGCCAACGCTCAGGCTGCATCCAAAAAGGAATTCCTGAAGGTCCTGGAAAGCGACAAGGCGTGCAAGGGGCTCGCATCCATCCTGAAAATTCAGTTGCGAACGTCAGGAACCTGGTCTACAATGGTGTGACCATGTAAAGAAGAGACATGAGGGCTCGTGGGCTGATCGATCGCTGGTCTTAGGTCCTACAGCTTGCGACCCCCTTTGGATGAACTTGAAGATTCCGCTATTGATGAGGATGGGAAACTTCCATCGATTGCGCCTTCGTGGGGCCCTTTGAATTTGGAAGCGCAATAAACTAAATTTAGTAATTTGCCATCACCCATCACTAGTACCATCTAGTACGTACCCAATCCATGCAACAGGCATCGGTCTTCCACTTTTGATGTTTGTTCTGCATCAATCGCATCGATATCGATCTATATATATGAGGACGATTCATTTTGGGGGTTCACCGAGGTTGGACCGCCGAAGCTTCTACATCTGCCCTGTAAATCCCGAGCGGGTGAGTCTGGTGAATGAGTTGTGCGGTACCAGTTTCAAGGTGACTGGGCCATGGGACCATGTTCATGCATAGCTGATATCATTATATATGTCAGTACTAGCTTCGTGCATATAGACTTCACCGCACATGTTTTGATTAAGATGCTCTTTCCCAGGCGAACAATCAACATGGAGTGTCCATTGGATGGGGCAAGCATGGAGGGATTTGCAAAGCGTCAGCATCTCAAACATTTATTTTGGTGTGTGTAAATTAATATGGGACTCACTCGTGACTCTATTTGGCCGACTGAGTTGGGAATACGCAAAGCTGATTGCTGGATGGCATAAAGTGTACCCACGGGCTGCCCAGACGGCCTGACCTAGCTGGTTCTGGTGCTCCCATGCTCATCAGCTACATGTACACGCAATGAAACTATTTATTAATTTGTACGCTATATTTCAACCCCAGTTTCCATCTGTGTGTGATTTCGTGGGGGCAGAGTGCCAATTTCCCTGCCAACTGAATCTGTTGGCCAATGGTAGTTGCCACACCCCGTGCTCCTCAGCGCGGATGGTGTTGCTTGGGGCATGTCCTGGCAACGGATCCAGGAGTGAAGGATCTGATCTAGGATCTAGGTCATGCGTAAAATCGACGATCAAGAGAATTGGCTCGGCATGTGTCATGAACAAATTGGTTTTAATCTAGAGGGACCTGCTGAGCATGTCAGTCGATTGCATGTTTTGTCTGTGGCAGCTGTTTTGGTACCATCAGGAGTTGGAAAGGGATTCGTGGACTTACCTAAAATGGTTGCCAAAATTTCCCTTTCCCGAAAGGCAGCACAGGCCCTGCTATACTTTGGAGTGCCCCTGATCCTGTTACTTACTTGCACATTTGGGTTGGAAGGGCCCTTAGAAGGGTCACAAAAAGAGAGACTTTACCGGTCTTCACAAATTTCCTCGAATTTAGGCCTCTCTTGGTCCCTTCTACAATGAGGCTACACGCCTGCGACTATGTCTGTGAGCAAGTGGAAATGACCACCATGGACAAGAGGGCTTGAAACTCAGGAAATGATATCAATTCAGGATGAACACGTGTCCCCAAAAAAGAAGTCCCCCCAACCCAGTGATAGGAATTAGATGGAATTAGACTGGGTTCTTCTTGCTAGTGCGATCTTGGTTTCTTTGGGTCAAGCCTTGTCGCCTAGGACTCTGCAGTATTGGATTTGTTTTGCGGTATGCAATCGGTTTCACGTGGATTCAGTGCAAGGCTCAGTGAATCGAGTGAATGTGGCCGCACTTTGATTTTATAGCAAAGCTCATACCTGTGATTTGACTGAGGGGCTGAGAAAATGAAGGCGTACTCGCCTAAGCCTTTCCTTCATTCACATGTGTTTTCCTATAGCTGGCCACCCTAGGTTGGCTTACGACAAGGAAAGTCATGGCCTTGATGGGGACATAACATCTGTGTTTGGGCCTTGGCCACAAGTGCACTGGTCCCCATATGCCCCCGCTGTGCACGACGGCCCAGGCAGGGCTTTTTGCGATCGGTCCTCCTCACCCTCAAACTTGAGGAAGGCGCAGTTCTGTCAGCTGGTCCACCTTGTGGATCATTTGTATTCTTGAACATGCATACAAGCGGCCGACGGGTTGATCGACCACTTGGATGGGCCTCACTGCGTAACTACGTCAGGATCGCAAATGTGAATCTTGAATTGGAAATCGATATATAGATGGATCGATTGGCATTTGTCGGATGTGTCGAGTACCGTGTGGTGGTGTGGGCCTGGGTCATCTAAGGATCACCACCCGGATGGTGCTGCTGTGGTTTTTGGCCACAGTCCGCTGTGTCTACTTGGTGACAGAGCAGCCCCGGTCTTCGCTAATGGTGTACTTCCCATACATTGTCTATTTCCGAAGGCTCGTGAACCAATTCATTCCTTGGAAGATGGTGGGACTGCCGGGGGCTCAATGGATGATGGACGTGGACATGCATGCTTTTCCGTTTGGGATGGCTTCAACTTTAAAACGCTCGAAAGAAAACCATTCATCCACCCAGCTGTACGTGGATATTTGTCATGAATCTACCTCTAGAACCGATTGGCTGCCCACACCGAGTGAAATGGGGGCCTATGGCGCCCCAACATTGAAGCCGACAAAACTGTTTGGGACTTGGCTTGGGCCTGAGACTGTCCTGCACCGACCATGCCAGACAAGATTATTAGCAGTACAGTAGCGTAGTACGTACTATTGTTTTTGTGGTCTCTGGACACCTGTTGGTTTTGAAGGCGACATGCAAACAAACCGACTTGACCTCCATCAACCATTCCCCCATTCCAACGGCATCGCCTTCTGCAGTGCCAAGGCCATCGATGGAGCGCATGATCAAGAAAGCCTCGAAGGGGGCGCGGGCCAAGTTGAGGAAGAAACAGGAGAAATCCAAAACTCCGATGGTGCGGCACACGATTAGCAAAGCATCAGGAAAACAGCAAGTGCCACTAGTCTATATCGATCGCTATATTGTTATTTGCCAAGCTTTGCACTGCGGTTGGTGGGAAGAAAATGGTGGGAAGAACGACTTTTCGGTACAGATCGATGGGCTTAGGACTGGAGCTGCTGGTCTTAAGGTGTCGCAAGTTTACCCTCCCAACTATGGCACTGCGATGGCTCGATTCCACAAAAAATTCAGGGTCTTGATCTCAGTTGACTGATTTGCGAAATTAAAAGGAACGAATACTGGAATCATTGGAATTTAATTTCCAGAGATTGATTGTAACCTCACTCCCCGGAAGCGCACAACACTGGGCTGGCCAGGCTAGCAAGGAAGCCAACACTCTCCGGTCAGCATTGTATGCTGGTGACCTGGGACACGGCAAGGTCCACAAGGCAGGCATTGGTATGGCTGGATGGGAGGTACTGTATAGTGAAACATTAAAACCAAGAACAAGATCTGGACCCGTCGTTTTTGAGCGGAGGCTCCTTACAATTGGCGCCACGCAGCACTGGACGATGTCAAAGCTTTTTTGGAATCAGAAGTCCGGGCTGGAAAGTTCCATCCCCAATTCGAAGGTGGGCTTGACCTATAGGATTTGCTGCAAAGATCCAATTACAGTATTCCCTTTGCACTCTGAGCTAATTTATTTGGAACAAATTAAACTGAGATTGCAGCTTAGCATCCAAGTTCCTCCGGAAAGAGATAAACTTGACCAATCAAAACAAGTGTTCAGTTCATACCTCTTGTCTAATTGATTCGTCTTGGTTGCTTCAAGCTGCACCGACCGAGCACGGCCCCAACTCCACTGATCTTGGAAAAGCTGAGGTCACAGCAGTAAGCTCATGCCAGCTCATGCCTGCACATCCATGCAGAATTTTGCCACAGGAGGGTGCGTGAATGGAGCGTGAATGAGCGTGAATAACTCGTGAACGACCATTTTTAAACGTTAAAGACCATTTTTAATCGTGAACGAGCATTACACAAAAAACCTACCATTTTTGTTTTTTTTGCTGTAAACGCTCCATTCACCACTCATACCATGTAAAAGCAGTACGGTATACCATTGTTTCATTAGAAGCCACTGCGGATCACAGGTTTCAGGGAAAATGCCTCCGTCCGAGGCTGTAGCTAAGGCATTAGAAAAAGCTAACAAGAGGGCAGCCCGTCTTGCAGAAGCTCCCCCGAATCAAGAGCCCTCGGCAGAAGCTTCGAGGCTAGTCGGCATGCATGTACATGTCAGTGCTGCACTGGATAAGCGTGAATAATTTGGTTGTATGTACATGAGCGCTTCATTTGCCCAGGGGTCGAGAAGGCAAACGCGTCGCGAAGGGCGATCAAGGTGCTGTTCTGGAAATATATAACGTGCAGTAGCTGGTTTGTTATGCATCTAGGGTCTAGTGGTTCAAGCCTGGGCCAACTTAGCTTCCGCCTCTGTTGCCTTTAACTATATTGATCGACTTGTTATGATTGCAGTTCATCCCAACCATGGCCCCGATTGTATTTAGATCCCGGTCAGGCCGTGGTGGTGGTGGTGGTTCATCTCCTGCTTCTACAGTGCCAGCCAGCGCTGCTTCTGTGGAAAGGGCCAAGGCCAGTGCCAGGAGGGAACGCCTCAATTCCACCCCACCAGCCAGAGTCAAACGTTCGAACACGGGGGTTTCTCAGTCATCTGCCCCCAAGTTGCCTCGTCGTATTCAGAGTGAGGAGATTCTTAGAGATGCCGCCGGCAAGCTAAAGTCACCTGCTACTGTATACTACAGCCCTGAGTGCCCTGAGCAGATTGGCGTGCAAGACCCACCGGCTCCAGAGACTAGGAAAGGGAGGAAGAGGAAGGAACCTGAACCCCCGGCAAATGCGAACCAGAAGGTGGATCCACCACCAAAACCTCCGCGCGCAAAAGCTACAGCTGTGAAGGCAAAAGCAAAGGCTAGTGCTAAGTCAGCCACTAGTCCAAAGGTTGAGACACCCCCGCCAGCCACTTCGAGAGCCGTCCAACAAGCTTTGAACAGAAAATCTACTTCAGAGATTCACTCACACCAGCCATCGCCCCACTCTCCCAGTGCTGCCTCCGCTGCTGAAGATTCTGAGGGCGCAGGAGCCGAGCAGCCTGCAGGTGATAGTGATGGTGAGCTGACGCTCGAGCAGGTGAAGGCCCGAAAAGCTGCACATGCGAGATTCATGCGGTTCAGCCGCAGCTTGAAATCACCCCGTATCCTGTCTGCATGCGCGCATGTGTTGCATCATGGTGTAGCTAGCCTTTTCTTTGGGGTCATCGACAACCTGTAGATCTAGAAATTTGTCAGCTTGAAAACTTCATGAACTCACATTGATCGAATCCGAGGCAGTGCCTAACTTAAAAAGATCCTAAACTTGTCAGTCCAGGTAGTCCACCAGAGATTCGCAAGGCTGGAGCTTTAGCGAAGAGGAGCTACTTGGGCCTCACTGGTGGTGTCTTTGAATTGAGGGTCACTGTTTTTGGAGCGTGCTACAGTCTTGTTTTGGAGGGTTTCTGGCAACCGTAATTATAAATCAAGACTGAAATTGCACAGGGGTCCATGGGAATGCATACTTTACTGCTGACACCATCCAAGACAGTCAGAAGCTGGGTATTTTATATGAGCAATGGGCTCAATGCGATGGCCATTGGACAGAATCATCTTTGTACAAGGAACTTCGAGTCAGCGTCAGGCACCGCCGCCGCGGCGCACGCCGCTGGTTGACTCTACATGAGTTGACCCTAAAGTACGGCTCGGAACGAGTGGCAAGGCGCATTGCAGAACACAAGCTGGCCGATGCTGAGTTGGCTCGCACTCAAGTGCGGTTCCACCCGGACGCTCCGGGGGATGAAGTGCCTGTGTTTGCACTCATCGATGATCGAGCTGTGATGGTCACTATCGATATATATATATATATAATCAATCGATCGACAGATCGACCTATATATGATTCAACCGATCAATCCTTCACTGGCTCATGATCGAATTATATGCTGTGTGGGTAGGGTGGGACAACTCCTGAGTAGCCCTTGCTTATTTTGCACGTCTAGGATTTACGCCAGTTCCTGGTTTGGGACATTGATGCCGAAGAAGATGTGCACGACACGGTCACATCTACCATGATTGATGCTGTCGAGCGTGACCAGAGTCCCAAGCATAAGACCAAAGACAACAAGAGGGTGAAGGGCAAGCCCAACAAGAAGAAGGATTCGAGTGATTCCAGCAGTGATGCTGATGGCAGCCATGATGATGACAGTTCGAGTTCGGACCCATGGATGAATTCAGACTGCAAGCCTCTCCCGCCATTCCATGAGCCAACGCATCGCCGTGATACTTAATTATGAGAATAAAACTAAAAGTATACGATACCCTGTACAAGCTGTACTCTGCAAATGATCGCTCGGTCATGTATGCACCCTGATATTATTATACATTGCAATTGAATGGAAGTCAACAGTCAACATGTCAACCCTTAAGGAGAAGAAGAAAGATAAGAAGAAGGCCAAGAAAAAGAAGGGGAGCAAAAAGAAGACCTCGAAAGGAAAGAAAAGTTCATCATCATCATCTGCATCGAGTCCATCATCATCACCAAAGAAACCGAAAGGCAAGAAGGAAAAGAAAAAGAAACCTAAGAAGGAGGAAACTGCAGAGGAGAAGGAGAAGCGTGAACGGAAAGAGCTGGAAGCGCAAGCCAAAGAAGAAAAAAAGAAGGCTATCACTGCTGCCAACAAGGCGACGACCACATATCCCACTCCCTTGTTTAAGTGATATGATGGTAAAGATGATTTTGGTGCTGTTTATCCTTTTCATACCCTCTGCCAGGTGGTGTCAAAGTTGCAGGCAGCCCTTGCCAAGGCCTCCTTGATGCAGGTGAAAGCCGAGAGCATGCCATAGCCTCGGGAATGGATGGGTAGTTGATGAGATGGCGGCACACATGCATGGTCCCCAAAGGATGGCCAACGATCAGCCTGTAGATTGAGAATAGGTATTGATCTTCGCTTAGGAATGTTTGACTCGGCCGAGTAGAGGTTTAAACTGGATTAAATCATGTAGCACATACACTGATGACAGTCTGCTACCATATCACCAGCGGTCAAAAGAAGTCGACATCTGAGTCAGTCTTTGTCCCATGATCAAACCAAGATCTCAATGGGTCCTGCTATATACCCTGACCTCTTTGGAGCTATCGCAAATCCATGATGAGGTCGGATGCTTTGAAGACTATCTTCATGGATGAGTTGAAACCGCACAAGAAGAGCTTGCAAAAATGCCGCGAGAGTTTGCAGAATGAAGTTGATGCTGTGAAGGCCCGGTGTGCATTTGTGGGACTCTAGCTATACTAGCATGATCAAGATCCCAGCTTGACAAGGTCAACAAATCGTAATCTCCATTTGCTGAACGTGTTTCTCCTTGTGGGTTGCCTTTAAACAAAAGCAGCTACTGTAACCTTTAAAGGTAATATATATCTATGCTTTCGCAGCCGGGTTGCACATGACCGTCTCTGCTGGACAGGGTGGTGGAGACATCGCCCGTCTGCCAAAACCTGAGTCTGCAGGGGAAGCCGCAGTGAAAAAATTTACTGAATTTTTGAGCAACAACAATATGAAGTAGATCTGTTGAGCGATCTTTTTGACCTTTCTGGGGGAATGGTACCCTAGAACCTGGCGTTAACGCTGCGAAGACTGTTATGCCGGGGATGGTGCCAATCGAGCTTTGGCAAAGCAGGTGTGTTTTGATGTAAGCACTGTACTATAGTACTTACTATATAGCTAGGCCTAGTCGTATATCTATATGTTGGATAGTATGCATATATGGTATTTGCATGGCTTTCGTTTCGATAGTGAGTCGGAGTCGGCAAGATTTGTTCAGAACGCCTGCTTTGCACTTTTGAGTTTTGGGGGTTCACAACAGTCGAACCCAAGAGACACAGGCACGAGGTCGCTCGATGGGATTCCAGAAAATCTGGATGGATAGATTCAGTCTGAACTAGCGGGTATCTGGGGACGACTTGGAAAACAAGTTGCGCTGCCATCTATCTAGTCGACTATTGAAGATTAGCTGAGCTTCAAGGTGAGAATTGTGGAAACCAATGCATTTACACCCCCAATGGTCTCCAAATATTTTTGGGTGCCCATCTATGTGCTGTCCAGGAACGCTGGAACCCAACACATTTGCACTGCTGAGTTCTCCGAAACCTACTATGGATCATTTATGTGCTGCTCTGCACTTTCCCACGCAGGAGATGAACCGCCCAGTGCCAAAGCTGCTGATGACAACTTTGTTCAACAGACCGCAATTGAGGATGTGAGTTCAGGGGTGCCTTGCATAAATTATATTGTTAAAGCTTTAAAGACTAAATGTGTAATGATTGATCATGGAAGACAATGCATAGCTCGATCGATCAAATTATATACGTACGCGTTGTCATGGATATAATCGATGGGTACTGTAGGGTCATAGGTTCGAACACCTTACGCCAATCAAAGATCAAGATCCCAATGCAAGCCAAGAATGATCAACCTCTCAAGTGCATTTAACTGCATTCCACTGTCTCCCACCGACACAGCACCCCCGCCATCTGAGGCCACTTCCGTGTACAAGACCATGAAGCGGATCAGAGCGCATGTGGAAGCACCTTGCTGCACGCACTGTAAGCGGGCTTTCAGGTGTCCCCCAATTTGCTGAGGGTGACACATGCATGCACCCATGCGCCAGATCAAGTACGTGTTAATGCATGATATAGATCTCAATCGAATTATCATCATAATTTGAATATGTGTTTTCGAAGTCTCACCGGTGGCTTTTGCGAGGAGAGTGGTGCACAGAATTGTCATCCTGGAACTGCTAGACTGGGATTGAAGAAACCTGGGAACGATGCCCGCAATTTCTGGAAAGCGCATGATATCCCAGTGGTGCCCTGGCCTCATAGCCGATGTTCTCAATCGACCGGTCATTGCAACGCTGGCAATTTTCCACCTCGGAAGTTTTAGGCAGCCAAGCGGAGTTCCAGGCCACCCCCGTATGTCAGGAGAAACATGGAACTCCATGCATTCCTGGGCATGGGTGTAGAGGGTAGGGTGTAGCTACATGCTTTCATAGGCGTTCAACAGCCCGTCACACTCAGACTAAGGAAGTGGAATACATTGCAGTTCCAGTCTATGATGAAAAGGTTGCCAGTGGTTACAGAGTTGAGCAACAAGCTGTCCTTTTTCCACATCGTATACTTGGCTATGTATTCGATCAATGCTGCCTTGATATACCAGAATCTGTAATCAACCAATTCTGGGACAATGCCATGGCTGGTGGGGAGGCATATGCAAGTCCAGCTTCGCGGCACAGGATTCCTCTGGGATTGTACGGGGACTCTGCACAGTTGATAACGAAATATCGGGTGGAGAAGCTGATGTGCCTATTTTGAACATTTGCATCTTTCGCCCCAACGCTATTCGATACTCGCGGTTCTTGCTTTGGACATGTGATGTGTCACTACTTTGGAAGAATATAACAACAAATACGGTACTTCGTTGGATCGTATGGTCATGCAACGCCCTCTACTCCGGCAGACACCCTGATTCGCGACCGGGAAACAGACCACTCAAGCCTTATGAACAGGAGCGTGCTGGGTCCTATATCACTGAAAAAAGGCACCAGTTTCAGGTGGTAGAACTCAGAGGGGACTGGGAGTTCCACAAGTTCATTTGGCAGTTCAAATGTTCGTGGAAGGGTGGTGTCAATGTTGGGATATGCTTTCGCTGCCCGGCCATGCTTCGATGTGCGGACACTGGCCTACAGTATTGGAATATGGATGATCAAAACAGCACTTGGGCCCAGCAAGAGTTTGGCACCGTTGACTATATTAACAAAAGGCTTCCTGCGTACAATATTTGCACCCTTGATATGAAAAAGAACGTTGTATTGCAATTGTCTTTTCTTTTGGGGACAGTTGAGTCGATGCCATGGAAACCCTATTGTGGGATTGGGGGTCAGTGCATGTTTTCCCTGTACAATGATCGTTTCTGTAATGGTTGAAGACTTCTATCCAAATACAGAACGAGTAGATTTGCAAGTTTTTCCTGAATATGCTGGAGGCCCCCTGGTCAATTTGCGGAAGTTCAATATACAGTGCATCAAGTGGTGTACGATGCACACTTTGAACTTGGGGCTCTTGATGGGTCTCAACGGAGGAGCTTTGATGCTTTGCTGTAAAACCAGCCCCCAATGCAACCGAGGTACTCAATCAATCTGCGCGATTCGGCTAAGGAAGGGTGTCCTCAAGAGGTGAGTTCATTGGGTATGATCAAGCCCCACCAACAAAATAAAGAACATATCAGAATAATGCACACCTCTTTAATTAAGAGATATTGGCCTCGGCCTTGGCCTTTGTGGTATGGGCAGCCAACTTATCATGCCCCTGATCTCGACCCTATCAACAATGATTTGGCTCACGTTCCAAAAGGGCTGACCCTGGTCTTCCTAGCGTGGGTGGTTGAACCTGCAACCCAGGATTATGCTGTGTGAGCAATTGGGCTACTTTGGGGCCGGCACTTTGCAGCAAAAATTGGATGAAGCCTACAAGGATTTTATTTCCTACTGCCGGGTGCACAAGATGGAGCACAGCCAACCCCCTTTCAAAGAGTCCAAAGCTCCCTGGCTATGTTCTTAACCATGCAAAGGGCCAATTTATGTACTACCGTTTTGGCCCCATACTTGCATCTCGATGCACAGGTTGCCAGACCTGGCACCGAGATCTCGTTGAACGCCAAAGCATGGAATGGACGCGTCATATGTGCATGGTTGGCAGAAACTATGCCAGTGGCTGCGCGAGGGTTTCCGCCTGGCTTCGACGAAGGTCGTTTGGGGTTGACTTGTCATGCACTGACGCTGGGATTTATTTCTAGCTAGTGCCGTTGTGCATACTTCCTCTTTTTTGACCATGTTCGATCATCATGTGTGAGTGCCATGCAGCGACTGTCCTGTCCAGAATCCAGCAGCGCATCCATTGCGCCCGATAGACCGAGGAAATGCATATCGCGTTTCTTTTGGCTACTTGAATCAAATCCAAGGCATTTGATTCTTGAATGACTTGATCAAACTGTTTCTTCCTTGGAGGCCCATGGGGGAAAAAACATGATCTTGTAGTACAGTTGATTGATGGATCCCTCATCGAGCTATTTCATCTATATACTTGATTTCTCTATCTGGTAATGATCATTAGGTCTGAAGACGCAGCTCGGACCATCTATGCGGAAGGTCGAGGGTTTCTCAGGGCATTCAAGATCTTGGGGTACATCAGCATCCGGCAACAGAAACAGGAGTTCCTCATGAAACCGAAGTGGCA